TCGCGAAAGGACTCTGCTGGCGGGTCCCGGACTCCGTCGCCGACGCGTGGGCACACGCTCTCGCGGTCTCCCAGGGCTAGGCATAGCCGCACCGTGCCCGGGCGCGAGGTCGCCGCGCCGGTGGTGCAGAGACGCGAGGTAGCCCTCCCAACGGTGTTCCCAACACTAACCCGGAGCAACTACGGCAGCTGGTCTCTCCTGATGAGAGCTATCCTGCAGACTCGCGGGCCGTGGGACGCCGTCACCACTGGAACCGCCGACTACCACGACGACCGCACTGCCCTGGAGGCCGTCCTCCGGGCGGTGCCAGAGGAGATGCTCGCGGTCCTCTCCACGAAGGAGACGGCGAAGCAGGCCTGGGACGCCGTCAAGACCATGCGGATGGGCTCGGCCGCCGTGCGCGAGGCCAAGGCCCAGGGCCTTCATCGAGAATTCGAGGATATCCGCTTCAAGCCCGGCGAGAACGTCGACGACTTTGCGATGAGGCTCACCGGGCTCGTCAACAACCTCTCCATCCATGGTGATCCCGTCAGGGACGCGCGTGTGGTACGTAAGTTCCTTCGAGTTGTGCCCCGCAAATACGCTCAGGTGGCACTCTCCATCGAGACGTTGGTCGACCTCGACACCCTGACGGTGGAGGAGCTCACCGGACGGCTCAAGGTGGTGGAGGAACGCCTCGACCAAGACGGCGGAGGCGAGGATGCCGGTCGCCTTCTGATGACCCTGGAGGACTTGCACGCGTACGAGAAGCGTACGGCGAACAACGGCGCAAGCGGCAGCAACTCGTCAGGTGCACAGGCGCGCGGACGAGGGCGTGGCCGCGGACGTGGCCGCGGCGGTGGACGCGGCGGAAAAGGCAAATCCCCTGCTGGCACTGACGCCGATGGTGGGAAGAACGGCGGCGGCAACGCGGATCATGACAAGTGCCACTACTGCGGCTTCGCAGGCCACTGGGCCCGGGACTACCGAAAGAAGAAACGCGAGGAGGAACAGGCCCTTCTTGCACAAGGCCAAGCAGGCGAGGACGACGATCCGGGTCTACTGATGATCGAGGAGGCCTCCCTGACAGCTGCGGCCGTCACGCCGCGTGCTGGAGCGGGCGAGGAGGTCGTCTTCCTCAACGAATCGCGCGCCCACGTGGAACTGCGCCGCGCTCCCGGAGATCAGGACGCGGCCTGGTACCTCGACACAGGTGCGTCGAACCACATGACCGGCGACGAGGCAACGTTCGCCGAGCTGGACAAGGGCATTCATGGCCCGGTCAGGTTTGGGGACGGCTCGCTCGTGTCAATCCACGGATGGGGCACCGTCCTGTTCGCCGCGGCTGACGACGGGCACCGTGCACTCACCAACGTGTACTGGATCCCGCGGCTGAAGAGCAACATCGTGTCCATCGGGCAGCTTGACGAGAACGGCTGTCCTACGCACGTCAAAGCCGGCGTCATGACGGTGCGCGATCGCCAGCACCGCATCCTAGCAAGAGTGCCGCGCACCCGCAATAGGCTCTACATCACCCGTCTATAGCTCGCCAACCCCGTTTGCCTCGCTGCGCACTCCGGGGACGAGGCATGGCGCTGGCACGCGCGCTTCGGGCACCAACACTTCGACGGCCTCGAGCGGCTGGCACGTCAGAACATGGTGAAGGGCATGCCTCTCTTCCACCACTCCGAGCAAGTTTGCGACGCCTGCCTAGTGGGCAAGCAACGACGAGCGCCTTTCCCTCAGTAGGCTAACTACCGTGCCACCGAGCCGCTTGAACTTGTGCATGGTGATCTTTGCGGGCCTATCTCGCCGCCCACTCCGGGCGGCAAGCGTTACTTCCTGTTGCTTGTGGATGATCACAGCAGATTCATGTGGTTGTACCTGCTCCGGAGCAAGGACGAGGCAGCCAAGGCGATCCAGCGCTTCCAGGCACACGCAGAGTGCGAGACGGGGCGGAAGCTGCGCACTTTCCGCTCTGACCGAGGCGGGGAGTTCAACTCCGGCGAGTTCAGCGCACATCTCGCTGATCTTGGGGTCCAGAGGCGCCTCACCGCGCCACACTCTCCCCAATAGAATGGCGTGGTGGAGAGGCGCAACCAAACCGTCATCGGGACGGCTCGGTGCATGCTCAAGGCGATGGGAGTGCCGCCGCAATTTTGGGGCGAGGCCGTGTCCACGGCCGCATTCGTGCTCAATAGGGCATACTCCAGAAGCGTACCAGGCAAGACGCCGTTCGAGGCCTGGCATGGCAGGAAGCCCTCCGTCGACTTCTTGCGTGTGTTCGGAAGTGTGGCGCACGTCAAGAACACGCGCCCACACCTCTCCAAGCTTGAGGACCGGAGCAAAGCCATGGTGATGATCGGGTACGAGCCAGGGAGCAAGGCGTACCGGCTCTACGACCCGGTGGGAAAGCGAGTCCATGTCTCTTGTGATGTCGTCTTTGACGAGATGCGAGCATGGGACTGGGAGAAGAGTAGCACGGACCAGGCAGGTATGAGCTTTACAATTGAGCCCATGTCAATTCTCACCGGCGGTCCGGCATCTGCGGCACGCTCCCCCTCGTCGCCTGGCGCCCCGCGATCACCCGCTCAGTCCGCGTTCCCGTCAAGCACGCCATCCACGACATCAGCATCGGCCAGGGGCGACGACGACACCCCATCGGCGACCACTACCGCGCCCACGGTGCCCCCGGCTCCTGCGTGCACGACCGACAACCTCGCGCCGGTGCACCCGATGAGGATGCGCGGCAAGGACGGCATCTTCCTCCCCAACCCTCGCTACATGGACACGCCTGCGAAGGCGGCTCGGAACGCGCCTCCTCCAGGGCTGGAGGAGTTCGACGACGCGAGATCAACGACGACGAACTCGTCGACGAGCTGCACCTCGTGCTGGGCGAGGAGCCCGGCTCCTTTGAGGAGGCAAAAGGTGAGACGTGCTGGCAGCACGCGATGATGGAGGAGATGAACTCCATTGAAGCCAACCAGACCTGGGAGCTCGTGGACTTGCCCGCTGGTCACCGTCCGATCGGTCTCAAATGGGTATACAAGACCAAGAAAGATGCTCACGGCGCGGTAGTGAAGCACAAGGCGAGGTTGGTGGCGAAGGGATATGTTCAGAAGCACGGCGTCGACTACGACGAGGTGTTCGCGCCGGTGGCCAGGCTCGAGTCCGTCCGCCTCCTGCTCGCTCTGGCCGCGCGCGCGAGCTGGACTGTGCACCACATGGACGTAAAGTCCGCCTTCCTCAACGGCGAGCTAAAAGAGGAGGTCTACGTGGTGCAGCCACCAGGGTTCACGGCTACCGGAGAAGACTCGGAGGTACTCAAGCTCAGAAAGGCCCTGTACGGGCTAAAGCAGGCCCCGCGGGCATGGAACGTCAAACTGGACGCGAGTCTGGGCTCGCTTGGGTTCAGCCGGTGTCCGTCTGAACACGCGGTGTACGCCAGGGGCACGGCGTCCTCGCACCTGGTCGTCGGCGTCTACGTCGATGATCTGATCATCACTGGCTCGGACGAGGAGGAGATCGATGGCTTCAAGAAGGAGATGCAGGCACTCTTCGACATGAGAGACCTGGGACGGCTCCACTACTATCTTGGAATCGAGGTGAGGCAGCACAATGGCGGCATCGACCTTGGTCAGGCCGCGTACGCTGCCAAGATCCTCGACAAGGCGGACATGACTGGTTGGAACCCCTGTCACACGCCCATGGAGCCACGCTTCAAGCTGAGCAGGGTGAGCTCGGCACAGCCGGTGGACGCCACCGATTACAGGAGCATCGTGGGCATGCTCCGCTACCTCGTCCACACCAGGCCAGATCTTGCTTTCTCCGTCAGGTATGTCTCCCGGTTCATGCAGGAGCCCACGACGGAGCACATGGCGGCAGTGAAACATGTTCTGCGCTATGTGGCCGGGACTTTGCACTGGAGAGTGCGGTACACGCGCGGTGACCACGATGCGCCTCTGATCGGCTACAGTGACAGCGATCTGGGCGGCGATGTGGACAACCGCAGGAGCACCACCGGCGTCGCCTTCTTCCTTGGCAGCAACCTGGTCAGCTGGCAATCACAGAAGCAGAGGGTGGTGGCCCTCTCCTCATGCGAGTCGGAGTACATGGCCTCCACCACGGCGGCATGCCAAGGTATATGGCTCGCACGGCTGCTGGGAGAAATAAAGGACAAAGAACTGAAGGCGGCGGTGCTCAACGTCGACAACAAGTCGGCCATCTCACTGAGTAAGAACCCTGCTTACCATGACCGGAGCAAACACATTGAAATCAGGTATCATTTTATCCGGGAGTGCGTGGAGAACGGAAAGATCCAGATCGAGTTCGTTCGGTCCGGAGATCAACTTGCCGATGTGCTCACCAAGGCACTTGGGCGAGTCAAGCTTCAGGAGCAGCGCATGAAGATAAGGATGGTGGAGCTCGACGAAGCACACAAGGCTTAGGGAGTGATTGTGGACTTAAACCTTGTGTATTCGTCAGTTTAGTTTTAGCAGAAAATAAACACTGCATAGTCAGCTGAGTAGATAAGTTTGTTAGAAAGTCTTTTTGCTTAGAAGTAGTCCACACCCCGCACGAGCTGGATCGTGGGATGCCGCGATCGTAGTGGCTCGGCGTGGCTGTTTTCTCGGGCCGTTAGTGGCCTCGTTCCCTTTCTATAACTGAATAAGAGGAGAAGAAGGAATGCAGAAAAGTTGCAAGTATTCGCAACGCAAAACCACTGTCTTCTGAGTATTCTTGCGAGTGCGTGTGTGTGATCGGTGCTGACATGCACAAGTCGTCTCCCTTCTCGAGGAATGGCACTATGATGGCTCTCTGGTTCCCTAGGTAAATAAACACAGCCAATGCGGCACCAGTCGCCGTTCCACTTCCCGGAGGAGCGGCGCCATGCATGGACCGCGGCGCGCTATAAAACCCCACCATCCCAGCGACCCCTGCATCCTTCACTCCGCTCCTCTGCTCCAGAACAAACACTCCAGCAGCAACAAGGCGGCCGATCGAAGGAGCGAGGCGACAAGATGATTCCCCTGTGGATCCTGGCGCTGGTCGCGGCCGTGTGCGCCTTCTTCTGCGGGCCGGTGGTGATGATGCATGGGCCGGGAGCCGCCGGGCTGCTCACCAGCCGGGCGGCGTTCGAAGCCTTCCCCAAGCCTTACTACTACCTGCTCCGCACGTACGGACCCGCCGCGGCCGTGTTCGTGTTCCGTCACCTCCCCCAGTGCCTGATCTCGATCTTGGCTTTTATTTTCGGTATGTGATTTGAGTGCAGGTCGATGGTGTAGGACTGCGGGTTGTTGAGTTATATCTTGTACTCAAGTGTAAATAGCTTGTTGTCAGAGGGTCTAAAGTGTAAAATGGTGTACTCTTGATTATAAAGAAAAGTGAAGGAAATGGAGAGAACTCTCTAGTATGCTCCTATCCAAATCCTGAGCACACGAACCATGGAGTCTTGCTATCCCCTAGTTAGTGTTCACTAATCCCTACATGGTATCAGACCACGGCGATCCGGACGGAGCTTGGTGTGCGACATTTGACGGCAACGTGTTCGAGTACAGCAGATCTGAGGATTTCTTTTGGGGAAGAACGACGGGGAGGTCGGGAGGCAGCGCTCCGGATCTGAGCTGCGACCTCTGAGAGTTACTGATTTGTTGGCCTAGTTCTGTGAGTTGCCGAGTTAATTCTCAAGTAGTTGCTGTTGTTGGAGCAAGCAGGCATGGGAGATAACAGCAAGGATAAGAGTGTGGATTCAAGTGTTGAAAAACTTTGTGAAAGTATGCAGCGAATGCTTGCTCAGCTGATGGAGCAGGCCCAAGTAAAGTCTAGTAGCTCGACTGAAATTCAGAAGTCTATCCTTGAACCGAATCCTGTTAAATTGACTGGCCCGGGCGACTATTTTAGTTGGGCTCGCAATGCCTCGTTCATTTTGGAAGCTCATGGCCTGCATAAGTACCTAAGTGAAGATGAGAAGAAACCAACAGATGTAGTGCAGGAGCAGTGGGAGCAGAATCAAAAGCGAGTCATGGTTTGGCTACTGGGCTCAATGGAAAAAACTGTTCAGGAACAAGTTGAAAGTTTTCAAACTGCTGCTGAAGTTTGGACAAGCATTGAAAAACAGTTTTCTGGTAAATCAAACAAAATGCAGGTTAGCAGAATATTGCATGAGATGTGGCACTTTAGGCAAGATCAAAAATCAGTTACAGAATATGCAGGGGAACTCAAGAAACTTTATAGAGATCTGGAGTTCTTCCGGCCATTCAAGCCACATGATCCTAGAGATTTGTCTCTCCTCAGAGAATGGTTTGAACCATTGTTGGTGCAGGTTTTTTTGGAAGGCCTGAATCCCGAGTTTAAACTTCGCTCTCAGATGATACAAGCATCTCCCGACTGGCCTACCTTGGATCAAACTATTGCTAGTATCCTTGAAGAAGAAACTCGTTTGGCGAACCAGGAAGCAATGCCACAGATGCATGGTGATAATCGTGCTGCACTTACTCACGCGCAAACCTCTATTACTTCTAGGAGTGATCAAGCAAATACTACTAAGTTTGACTACAGAAGGAGAAACAAAGTTGTGTGTGATCATTGTAAGATGCCTGGCCATGTGAAGAAGAATTGTTTCGAGTTGGTTGGTTATCCTCCGGGATGGAAGCAAAGACAAACAAGCAGGTTAAACAGCAGCGGTAACAACTTTGAGAAGAAGCAGGACCGAGCTCATCTTACATCATCGACAGCAGAGTTACCTGCAATAGCTGCTCATGCGCTAGAAGAGTTCAAGGCAAAGTTGATGGCCGTTGCTACCGAAGGATCTAGTGAAGCTGTTGGCTCTCGGGCTACAGAAGGTGAGAACCATTTACGTGTGCCCTGGATCATTGATTCAGGTGCGACAAATCATATGACAGGATCACCAAAGAATTTTTCATCATACTTGCCTCGTTCTGGGAGAGATAGAGTTTGCATTGCTGATGGGTCTTCAGCTACCATAATGGGTTGTGGATCTGTTAACTGCACATCAACCCTATCATTAAGCCCTGTCTTACATGTTCCTAATTTTCCTGTGAATTTGTTGTCGGTCAGCTCTATTACAAAGTCACTAAATTGCAGAGCATGGTTTGAACCTAAATTTTGTGTATTCCAGGATTTGAAGTCAGGAAGAATTCTTGGGACTGGAACTGAATATGACGGCCTCTACTACCTCGACAACGCATCGACTTCACTTGCACTTAGTGTGAAATGTGTCTCCGCTACAGATGAGTTGTTATTACTACATTATAGACTTGGGCACCTATCGTTTCAGTCACTAGGCCGCATGTTTCCCTCACTTTTGGCCTCCTGTTGCAAAGAGCAATTCGTATGTGATGTATGTGAACTAGCAAAACATACGAGAACTAATTATCCTAGCAACAGTGAGAGGAGTAATGTACCTTTTGAAGTAGTCCATTCAGATGTTTGGGGGCCAGCAGTTGTAACCTCTCTATCAGGAGAACGGTGGTATGTAACTTTTATTGATGAATCTAGTCGATATACTTGGCTGTATTTGCTCAAGCGAAAATCTGATGTTTTGTCCGCATTTAAAAACTTTTATACTCTGGTGTGCAACCAGTATAATGCTAGTGTTAAAGTATTTCGCTAGATAATGGAACTGAGTATGTTAACAAGGATTTTGATAATTTCTTAGCTTCACATGGCATTATACATCAAACCACATGTGTGAATACAGCTAAACAAAATGGGGTTGCAGAACGAAAAAACAGACATCTGTTAGAAGTTGCTAGATCCCTCATGTTTATGATGAATGTGCCAAAATTCCTTTGGGGTGAAGCTGTCAAGACAGCGGCATATTTAATAAATCGTATGCCATCAAGGGTTTTAAATCATAAGACTCCGGTTGAGTGTTTGAGTGGTGCCAATTCTTTCATTGTTCCCCCCAAGGTTTTTGGATGTACTTGCTTCGTTCATGACTATAGGAATTCAGCAGGGAAGCTTGATCCACGTGTAGTTAAATGCATATTTGTGGGTTACTCTCCTACCCAGAAGGGGTACCGGTGCTGGAGCCCTACCGAAAAAAGGTTCTTTGTCAGCATGGATGTCACATTTCATGAAAATGAGCCATTTTATCCTATAGATGGTAAAATTGTTCATGGTGTTGATAGTCAGGGGGAGAATATGAGTAAAGATGTTACTCCCAGTAGCTCAGCTCTAACTCCTATGATTGATATATCTCAGCGGGAGAATGAACCAGAGGGGGAGGAAGATGCTAATAGTAACGATGGAAATGAGGTAAGTGACACTTTTCCCAGTCAACAAGTTATTGAGCCTGACACTTCTTCTGAGCCAACAACTAATGATGGGACTGGAGAAGATATTGACCATATTGATGCCCCAGAAAATTCTTCTTCACCGAGGGAGTCTACTCAGGGAGAAGGTATGGTAGAATCTGTAGCAGCTCCCAGTTCTCCTATAGCTCCAGTAAGTCTGCAAGACGTACTGATATTCCAGCGCGCCTTAAGGATTGTGTTGTCTATAAGCATGATATTGCCAAATTTATTTCTTATGAAAAATGTAGCCCAACATTCCAAGGATTTATTGCTTCTTTAGACTCCACCTCTATTCCAAGAGATTGGAAGGATGCTATAAAGGATTCTAGGTGGAAGACAGCCATGTTAGAGGAGATGGCAGCCTTGGAGAAGAACAATACATGGGAACTCGTGAACTTACCATCTGGTAAAGAACCTGTGGGGTGCAAATGGGTATACACCATTAAGCATAATCCCGAGGGTAAGGTTGAGAGGTACAAGGCTCGTTTAGTAGCAAAAGGGTATACTCAGACATATGGGATAGACTACGAAGAAACTTTCGCTCCAGTTGCCAAAATGAATACAATACGAACTTTGATATCATGTGCATCTAATCTTGACTGGGATTTACATCAACTAGATGTAAAAAATGCTTTTCTTCATGGAGACCTCCAAGAGGAGATTTACATGCATATACCTCCAGGTTTTGGCACTGCACAAACTGAGGGCAAAGTACTTAGGTTGCATCGATCATTATATGGCTTAAAACAATCACCCCGGGCATGGTTTGATCGTTTTCGACGGGCGGTACTACTAATGGGTTATAAACAGAGTAATGTCGATCATACTCTGTTTTACGAACGTAATGCAAGCAAACTGGCTATATTGATAGTCTATGTTGATGATATTGTTATTTCAGGAGATGATGAGGAGGAAATTAAGAGATTGAAGTTGCAACTGGCACAGGAGTTTGAAGTTAAAGACTTGGGTCAATTAAAATATTTTCTTGGAATCGAAGTCTCTAGGAGTTCAAAAGGTATATATCTTTCTCAGAGAAAATATATCTTGGATCTCCTATCAGAATCTGGAATGAAGGGGTGTCGTCCAGCTTCTACACCAATTGAACATGGTTGTCGCCTTGTTAAAGAGGGAGGCTCACCCGTAGACCGGGAACAATACCAAAGGCTTGTTGGGCGCTTGATCTATCTATCACATACTCGCCCTGATATTGCTTTCGCTGTAAGTGTTGTTAGCCAATTTATGCATGATCCTCGAACCCATCATATGGATGCAATAAATCAGATTATTCGCTATCTTAAAGGGTGTCCTGGTAAAGGTTTGTTATATTCTTCCCATGGCAATTTACAGATAGAATGTTATACAGATGCAGATTGGGCAGGCTCATTAGATGATAGAAGATCAACATCTGGCTATTGTACCTTTGTTGGAGGAAATCTTGTTACATGGCGTAGCAAGAAACAGAGTGTGGTTGACAGGTCTACGGCAGAAGCAGAATTCAGATCCATGGCACATGGAATATGTGAAATTTTGTGGTTAAGGATCTTATTAATGGAACTGGGCTTGTTTCGGTCGAAACCCTTAATGCTGTATTGTGATAACTCTTGATATTGCGCACAATCCAGTACAACACAGTCGAACAAAACACATTGAGATTGATCGACACTTCATTAAAGAAAAGCTAGACCAAGGAGTCATCTGCATGCCCTATGTGAGTTCTTCTAACCAAGTAGCAGATATTTTAACTAAAGGGTTACCAGATAGGCAATTCTCAAGTCTTTGTTGCAAGATGGGGTTATTTGATGTATTTGCCCCATCTTGAGGGGGAGTGTTGAGTTATATCTTGTACTCAAGTGTAAATAGCTTGTTGTCAGAGGGTCTAAAGTGTAAAATGGTGTACTCTTGATTATAAAGAAAAGTGAAGGAAACGGAAGAACTCTCTAGTA